GGTGCTCATTTTACAGAGGAGGAAACTGAGGTCCCGGGAAAGCCTTACATTCCCACAGGTAGCAGGGGGCAGAGGTGGGATTGGAACCGGGGTCCCCTGAGTTCCTGCTCAGGCACGTCGCCCCATAGTGCCCTGCTTAGATTGGGTTTCAACTCTCCAGCAGCGTCAGTAAGAAAGACGTGCTCTTCATGGCCGCAGAGCCATCCTTACTTGCTCAGGCAGGTGGTGAACTTGCCCTGCTTGTTTGTCTTGTAAAAAGCGAGAGAGCTGCCCTCTCATCAGAACAGTCGTGGACATTAATAACCTATTTTTCTCCACACACAACACGAGTGGCAGCAACAGTAACCAACAGGCAAACTCACCCTGTCCCCTCCACGTATTTTTAACTAACCCCTCAGCTCCAAAGAGGATTTCTAACAATGGCTGTCTAGGAACTGGAGTTGTCACGGCACCCCTGGTTGTCAGGAAACCAGAAGCGGCGTCCCCATTCACGTCGGCGGTGTACCTAGAATAGCCCCCTTCTGGCTCTCCAGTGAGTGATTCATCCACAGGGCTGTGTTTAGGTTACACCCACGCAGGAGAACGTTCGCAGGAGCCATCATTTTGGCAGCGAATGTGGTCCTGTAACGCCTGAGAGCCCGGGGAAGCAATGCTGGTTAGCACGTAGCTGCAACACACCCACACGGATTCGCCTGCATTTCACTCACCTGCTTTGCCAGCAGGAACGGGCAGAACGCTGTCCCTGTGCACCGGGGCCGGGAGGAAGCCCGCGTGGCACTCACGCTGGCCTTCGAGAACCGTCTGAACAGGTTCAGTTCATCTTGAGCAAGCTTGCTAGAAGGGCGCGTGGCTTCGCACAAGCGAATTGGCTTCCCTTTCATTTTCTGCCATCCAAGTTTGTAAGGGGAATTCTTCCTCAGAGCCAAATGCTAAGTTGGTGAGGCACGTCCTTATTTTAGTCTTGAGATCATTTCTTGATTCGGGAAAGAGTAAACTTTCAGTTTTACCAAAGATCAGCCTCTTCACGTTACTCTGACCAACAAGACTTTTCTTGGCTGGGGAGTAGGGATGGGATTTGAGGAGAGAAGGAAAGGGGAAAAAAAAGAGAGAGAGAGTGCGACAACCTTCCAAACATCAATAATCCTTTTCCTTGCATGCAAGAATGATTATCAGCTACTCTGATGTGAATTATGTAGTCTAGCACTTTTTTTATTTATGACTGTAGCAATGAATATAACTTGGTGCTTAACCAATTATTTTTAAGAGGTGGTAGCACAGTATTTCTTTGAATGTTGAAAACCAAAAATAGAGCCTTTAAGAATTTCTTCCATCTGCCAGCCTGAATGCTGGCTGGGTAGAGATTTCAGTGCCGCCCACGTGACAGAACAGGCCCCCGTTGCCCCATATGCAGAACACACACCCGCGAAATCAAACACCCCTGTGGGACGTGTAATTAGCTAACTCCTGTTCCGCGCCAGCCAGCGCTCCCCTTAACTGCTTGGCAATCAGAGGGAGAGCACCCTTTCTGGGTGGCAGGTCTTACCCGCTGTAGACAGGGACATTTCCCGGCAGAAGCATTACCCGCGCCCGCCCGGGAGGGACAGTCTGTTAAGGGCTAAAACGCGCGTGATGAGGTTGATGGGGACATCTTTCAGCAGCAGTTTGCTCATTTTAGGAATTTCTCCTCAGAGGGATAAGTAGGAGGTGAAACCCAGGGTACTGGTTTTGTGGTTTCAAATGTCTCTTTGGGTTGGAAACGACTTGAAAGGCAAGTGGGCTTGTTCTGGATGGCGTGAAGACTTCACTTTGAGAAGAGGTCCAGAGATGATTAAGATACAGTTCCCGACCCAAGGAGGGCCAAGATTTGTAGGGGAGGCAGACAAGTCGTCAGGACTAGAAAAATAAAACACCTTGATGGCTGGGAGTTCGCCCTTGACAAGAGAATAAATCTCTATACCGATTCCCTTCCTATTACTCAGACTAGTCGGGGAGGGCGCCCTGCCAGGGAATTTGATTTGGCCCAAGGTCAAGAAAATCTCAGTGTCATGGCTTCTGCTGATAGGTGTGGAGCTGAAGGTGGGGTGGGGGTGGGGAGATGGCTCTGTGTTGGGGAAGGCACCAAAGTAGGCCCAGATCTTTAGTTTCCCCACACTTCAGTTTCCTCATTATGTCGAAATTTTCTGGAATGCCTGTTACACACGCAGCAGCAACAGGAAAAGTGGCTCCCCTGTCCCAGCCCTCTGCTGAGGTCAGCTTGGTGGCAGCAGTTCCAGAGAGGAAGACAGGGCTCCTGGGAGGACAGCAGCCCCCACCCCCATTGACACTTTCCCCAGATTATCAGGGAGAGGCGAGTCCCAAAGAAAGGGTCAGGAAACACTTGGGTCGCATCATGAATATTCACAAAATAGGGCAAGTGCAGTTGCAGAGTTCTCTGCACAGAGGGGTTTCAGCTGCTCCTTCACCCCAACGCTGGTGCACGGGGCGATTGCAGCAACCCCCTCCTTCTCTCCCTCTGAGTCCCGTGAAGGTGCCTCAGGTCTGCTCACCAACACGGGGGAGCACCTCCCGACTTCTCCTCTGCCGCCCCTGCTCCCATAGCATTGCTACATTGGCCACCCTTGTCAAGAGCACACTTGTTGAAATGAATGTCAAAGTGTGCTCCCTCCCTCAGATGCTGGGCTACCTCTCTTGTTGCTGCCAGAGCCCAACCCGTGAAGAACTGCCCTGCACACCCAGCGTCCCTCAGGGGTTTCAGCAAAGGGCTGCTTTGGTTTGATGCCTCTTTAGAAGCCCTCTCTCCCCAGCTTTCAGGAGAAGATGTGGAAGACAGTCAGGGAGGCAGGGATTGTTTGTTCTCAGAAGAGTTCCTCTTCTGTGTTAGCCTCAGGATTAAAGTTCAGACTCCTTAATATGGTCCCCAAGATCCACCAAGATCCACCATGTACCCTGCCTTTCTTTCCAGCCCCATCCCTCACCACCCACTCTGTTTTCCCTGTTGTCTCCAAACTCACTTGCTCTCTCTCACATACCAGTCTGTGCAAACACCATGCCCCCAGCCTGGAGATGGTCCCCTCACCCAATTTTCTACTCTGTCTGTTGACTGAATCCTACTCATCCTGCTGGATTCAGCTATGATACCACTTGACCTAAGAAGCTACCCATGTTCAGTCCCAATGTCTGAGAAATTTGCCCTCTTTTATGCTCCCAGGGCCCCCGTCCTACCATCAAAAGGAGATCACTTAACACTGTGACGTCTGTTGTCATCTCCATCTCCCCTACCAGTTCCTTAAGAGCAAGGACTATATCTTATATTGATTTTATTTGCCACTTGATCAAGAGTATACAGGAGGTACTAAATAAATTGACTGGATGAATAGTGAAACATTTCCTGGGATCAAACTTCTACGCCTGAGTCTCTTTAAGACAAGTTTTTCTCAAAGAGGGAAACCAGTCCCCAGTGTGCATGGATTTCTGATGGACCTACCACAATGGTCTTCTGGCCTGACTCTTAGAGTCAGCCTGGCTTTGGCTTGAGCTAGGATTCTTCCTACATAAGCATCTGGTGAGCATGGACCACAGCAGGGCTTCTCAAACCTTAACACATATAGGAATCCTGGGATTCTCTTAAAATGCAGATTCCAACCTGGTACATTGGCGTAGGGCCTGAGATGCTAATTTTGCTGGTTGGGGACCACACCTTGAGTGGGAAGGCACTAACTGAAAGTCTTGTGCAGTCTCTTTAAATTGATTCCAGGATTCTGATTTATAAGAACTAATTGGCAAAAATTCAAAGTACTGAAGAAGCCTTTCTAGGAGAGTTTATTTGTTTTTTATAATGCTTGATCTCATTAACAACTGAACATGTGGCCATCACTGTAGGCTGCTTCCTCCTTATACCCAATCCTTTCCTCCTTTGTCTGTCTAAAGTTCGAATGCCCACTCTCCCAGCCTCCTTTACTGTTCTGGATGAAACACGTGTTACAGAGCTGTTGATGGGATGTGGTTAAGCCCTAAAGTTCTGCCTTAAATGCCAGTGCAGTGGCCTGAATTGCAGAACCAATTTCAGCAGTTTAAAAATAGCAGGCCAATGTCTTCATGATCTCTTAGCCTTTTTCTTATGCTTTTTGCCTCATGGTCACAGAATAGCTGCTGATGCTCAGTAAGATCAAGTATCTCTTAATATCACCAAACATCTAGTCAGTTGCACGTTTTCTTGATAGTAATTTTTTTCTACAGTTGATTTATTTGAATCTGAATCACATTACATTTGACTATTTTTTAACAATATTATATGCCTTAAGCTCCAAATTCCTTTTTATGAGATAAAAATAAATCCCTATTTGTTTAAGCCAGCTTTGCCAGAGTTTTATGTTCCTTGCAGTCAAACTGTAATACAGTATACAATTTTTTTAAATTAGAATTTATTTTCTTGCATTAGCAAATTAACACACCTAGCTTCTAAAAATCTTTAGAGACATGGAAAAGTAGAAATAAAGAAAAGAAAGTCAGAGTCCCATTACTGAAGTACTGTTAAGATTTTGACATATTTTCTTCCAGTGTTTTGTATAGTTGTGATGACACACTAGTAAATTTGTATCCTTTTTTTACTTACCCTTAAAAAAAAGCATTTTTAGGGGTGATGAAAATATTCTAAAATTGATTGTGGTGATGGTTGTACAACTCTATGAATATTCCAAAAATCACTGAGTTGTACACATTAGGTGAATTGTACGGCATGTAAATTATATCTCAATAAAGCTACTCTAATTTTTTTAAGTAAGCATTTTCTGTTATGATAAACTCTTTAATATTTTAAATTCTTGCATAGTCATTTATCAAGAGGCCGGACTTCGAGTCATTAAACTATTTCCCGATTACTGGATATTTGAGTTGGTTCTACATTTTGGCTGCCATGAAAATTGCTACAGTCAACTGCTTTGTACTTAAGACTTCGCTGTCTAGAATTAGCTCCTCCAGAAGCAGAAATATTGTGCCAAAGTGTAACACTGCTTATACATTTATTGAGCATCTATCGAGGGCTTACTACTAGTCAGGTGTGGACCACACTAAGTACTTCACATGCATCATCTCTTCGAATTCTTCATCACCCTAAGAGGTCTATTTTACCCCTATTTTCAGAAGTTGGACTGAAGCTCAGAGAAGACAACTAACTCACCCAAGGTCACAAAGCCAATAAACGGAGGGGCTCAGGCTCCCACCCAGCTCCGCCTGCTCCCAGGGGCCATTGGCATCGCTCCCTCATCAGGCCTTCAGTTTTTCAAAACTTGCTGTTTCAATGGCAAAAATGCCATCTCATTCCAAATGTTTTCCTTTCATTACTGATGATGTTGGCCAGTTCTCTGTGTTCACCCAACCGCACTTCCTTTTTTTTTTTTATTTAATTACCTGTTGTGGCCTTTCCCAGTACAATTTGAAGAGTGAATAAAATGTGATCCATGGCTTAAAAAGAAAAACGCCAGGCACAGTGTCCTTTTAAGAGGTCTGCACAAACTTGAAAGTACCTTTAATGATGGCCAACCTGATCGGGGGGTTTCCTACTAGCAAGCTTTTTGACACAAGTGCCTGGTTCTCCCCCTCATTCCTCCCACCTGGCTGAGCCCGGATGCAGATCCTTGCGAGCAGCACAGAACAAGGGAAGACTTCCTGGCTGCGGGGCTGCTCCCCCTCTTAGGAGCAGCCTCTGTTGTTTCCTGAAGCAGGAGGGCTTGGAGCAACACTCAGGCAGGCGCTCATTACTCTGCTTCTAAAGCACTTAGCCAAAGAGCGGCTTCCTTTCCACAGTTATGTAGACAAGCATCACAATGATGAAGATGCCAAACACAGCAAGCTTCAAGCCCACTGGAAACGTTTCTAGGTTCCTGTTCCCAGCTCCTCTCTTTATGATGCAGCAGGCTTTCTCTCTGATGTTGCTCTGTTCTCTGAATCTGACTGACACTCTTGCAGGACACCTGTGAAAACAGTAGTGGCTCTTAGGGGCGTGTACCGCTGCTCCTCGAGCGCCCCCTTAAAGTGTGTGGGACTTCGGGCCCAAGGAGCAACCACGGGGGGCTTTTAGGGAGCAGCCCTGTACTCACTTATAACCTATGCTGATTTCAACCAGCAATCTTAACCAGGGATCACCAGGACGTGTGATCTCTAAAACCCCACAGAGCATTTTTTTAATCACCCCCTTGTGTAACATCTTCCAGTGCTGCCACAAGGCCATCTCAGGGACTTACAGATCCTCTGGTCCCCACTGGGGATGGGTACAGGCTGATGGGGGCGGGGCATCAGTACATAGAGCCTCTCCTTTCTCTCTTCACAGGTATGAGCACTGCCTTTCAGGGTGGAGATGGGAACAGCTTTTGAAATCTGCTTATTTTTGCATTTAAAAGGGCAGAAAGGTACTTTCAGATCTCCTAGGTCTAATCCTGGAAATCTGCTGAAGTTTATTCAGAAGTTAAGGAACTTTCTCTTTTCTGGAGTGGTGCAGGGAGAGGTAATTAGGTTTTTACTTATTTATTTATTTACCTTTAATGGAGGTGCTGGGGGTTGAACCCAGGACCTCGTGCATGCTAGGCACGCACTCCACCATGGAGCTATCCCCTCCCCCACAGAAGTTAGGGAACTAAACAGAATGCTTTACATTTTGACCAATAAAATGTCCTGTCTTGAGCTCTTATTTCAACGACCTACTTGCTCTTTTTTTGTTTTCTCTTTCCCCTTGCCCACAAATGGGAACAAACGTCTCTAAACTACTACAAATCAAGAAACTTGGGTTCTGGTCTCAGCTCATCATAAGCTGAGCATCGTTTATGTCATCCCCCTCAGCCTCCCCGTCTCGTTACTGCATCTCAAAACATGAGTGGTGAACCAGAGAGCGAGGCCCCATCCAGCGGCTTTAAAATTGTGAGATATCACCAATCTTTCTCCTTTCTCCACGTATTTTTTCAGACTCAAATCCTTCACAGAAATCTGATTAATGAACATTTTCTCCCCAGGGGTTACATAAGCCAATAATATCTCCTCATGTGCTAAGAAAAGCATTACCTTCTTCCTGCAGAATTTTTACAATCCAGGCAGACGATATCCAGGGCTTTTGGGTTACTGGTGGAAGCGTTGGCTGTCTAATAAACAGAAAAAAAAAATCAAGAAGAATTGGCTGAACTATTATGCCGTACACCAGAAATTGACACAACATTGTACACTGACTATACTTCCATTAAAAAATTTATTGTTTCCAATGTTTTGTACAAAGAACTTAATTTTTTATTCTATAAAAAGTCATATAATCTGATAAATTTTTGGGATATCAGGTAGTTTAGTGCTTAATACCACAAACTTTAAATCTACCTTTATTCAATAATTAGCAACAACATCCACGTTCTGTGGAGTCATTCTACTTCGGTGACTCACACGCGAACAGTAGACACACCAGTTATGAGGGTCACGGGATGCCAGCATCATTATGTTTAAATATCACCTCTTTCTTTTGCACTTTTATATGTACTTTTTTTTTTTATTGTTTGGAGATTTTTTTATGAGCCTGAGTCATTTTTACACAAAGAATAAAGTTATTTTAAAAAGCAAGTTGGCGATGAACAAAGACTAGAAAATAATTTAGGAAAATGAAAGTGCTGGCCTGTAAGAGGAGCAGAAGAAGAGACAATCATGATTTTTTTCTTCCCCAGATTTCTTTCATGTTGGGTTTTTTTTTTTCAGTAAAGTGAAAAGGCATAGCTCTTTAGGCCTTGGCTTCCTCCCTGTGAAGTGGACTTGTAAAGATTAAGAGATTTAACACATGCAAAGTGATTAAAACATCTCTTGGCGCATAATAAGCATCAAGAAACATGGGTCCTAATGATTGCGAGAATGGTAATTATTATTAATTTCATGTTGCTGTTTTTCCTCGTATGTCTGGTTTTTCTTCATTATCCATTCATATTTAAGATTCAGGGCTTATCATCCTCAAATGTCTGCAATGCCCAGGCAGGAGGCCCCTAGGAATGTGGAGGCGGGGTGTCAGATGATATAACCACCATTTATCAAGTTCCACGTCCCATTTCCCATTAACTCACTGAGGCCTCTGGGACTACCCTGCCCTCATCTGGTTGGCACTATCATTGCTCCATTTTGGAGGTGATACGTTTGAGGCACAGAAAGGTTAAGTAACTTGTCTGAGGTCACACAGTATTATCAACTGAACTCTGTGCTGGAACCGTGACACTAGACTCCTCTCTACCCTTCAGTTTCTAAAAATAATTTCCCTCCTATGAGAATTCTTCTTTATGACTCTTACCCACTCAGACCACTCACCTGGTCTATATTCTTCAGTCTTAATATACATGTTCTGTACTTGACTTACTGACTTTTATTTACTCATTCAACAAACATTTGTAGTGCGCTGCTGAGTACCGATCCCCATGCTGGCTGTGAGGATTTCTGAGAGACCAGCACACCATCCACCCCTGTTCTAGACGGCTCATCACTGAGCACGGTGATGGTGTAAGTATCCTCACCGACTTCCTTCTTTTTAATCAGACCATCTGTTGGATCTCTCAGAGCTGTTACTCTTTTTCCCCCCCAGTTTTATTGAAATAATTAGCATATATCACTGTAGAAATTTCAAGTGTACAGCCTGATGGTTTGATTTTCTACTTCTCTTTAATCAAACCACAGTATCTACCATTTGGGGTCCTTGGTAACTCGGTGCCCACCACTTCCTAGAGGTCCTGGATCCCTGAACACAAGAGAAGCCTCTGACACCTGCCGGTCGCAGCGCCAGAGGCCTCATTCGGCTGTGGACATGGGAGTCAGGCACGGAGAAGTCCCAAATACATAAGCGGAAGATGGGACTTGCCTCGGACAGAGAAAGGACTGACCGGCACCAGCACAGAACAAGAACCAGAAGGAAAATCAGAAGAAGACGTTCTGACAACAATATTGAGACAGACTGGAAGAGGGTGTGATGGAGGGTGGGACAGGCAGGGGGCACTTGGGCACTCAGATGAGTCAGGAGTTACCCTGGTCTTAGCAAGTGTCGTCAGGACGCCCTAACAGAGCACAGAACTCTAGTGAATCTGGACCATCACCTTCCGGGTGTGTTGTGTTAGCAGGCCTGATGGTCTCAGCCCGAGGCGGGGCAGGAGGGCGTGGTCTGCTCTACTGCCACGTACTGCGGGTCACCCCCTCCCCAGTATGGGCCACCGATGAAGAATCAGCTACGGCCTCCACCTCTTCCCCTCTACTCCCTGCCCTACCTTCTTAAAGAAAATGTTCTCAACAGTGCTTTAGTGATACCCGGGCAGGGCCTCTGCAGATGGTGGGAGCTGTGCCTGGTACAAGAACACCACACCCAGGGGAGCACTGTTCCCAGCATGGACATTGCACACTACATCAATTTCCTGGAAGAAGGAAGCAAAGGCTCTTGAGGAAGAGGGACTTTGAAAATTCTCCCCCAGGTGCCACGTGGGCTGTGGGAGCCTGCTCACCAAGAGACACTTCAAACTACTTCCAAGGGTGTTGGGAAAATCTTTTATAAACACATTCTTTTCTTTAAACCTTTTTAATTACAGAAAATTTCAAACATATACAAAAGTAGACAATAGGATAATGAACCTCCATGTACCCATCACATGCAACTTCTTTTTAATTCTCTTAAACTTAAAAACAGATATCTTAAGCATTGGGGTAGAAATCTGTTGCAAAATCAAATTATAGGATTTCACAGCTCTTAGGTGATCAAGTACTCCCTTCTCTTTCCTCCTGCCATAAGGTTTAGGTCTTTGATTTCCTTTTCTTCTATAATTTATTTCCTTTACTAGCATTCACAGAGTTCTCCTACAGTATGTGAAAGGTGGACATTTTGATTTTCAAAAAAGGAGTAATTACGGGCTATCAACATGACTGTGCAGCCATCAATAAAAATAATAATTATAAAGACTATATAACAGGGAAAAGGGTTATCGATTAATGTTAAATACACTAAACAGTATAAAAATGTATGTACACAGTAAAGGAAACTGTGTAAACGCATACTGCCTATGCGTATAAACAGAAGCTAGGAGGAAATTGAAAAAAATGAAATCAGTTCTTGCGTCCAGTGGCATGCTTGTAGCTGATTTATTTTTCATCTTTAAAAAGTTCCTTTAATGCTGTTGCAATATGATTTTCACCATAAACACCATTTACAGTGGAACTAAAAAATATTGGTGTTCATTAAAGCGATGGCTTACTGAGGGTAAATGGCACCCACGGGGAGACGTAATATCTTTGCTCCTTTCTCCCTATGCCCCAAGCTAGAATCTGCAAAGATGGCTGTTTTTGCACAGCATTCGCAGCTGAGCGCGGAGAAATGTGTGGCCTCCTTGGCTGCTCCACCCCTTTCAAGACACTCCTGGCATTCAGGTCAGAAAAACATACCCACTCACATATTACTGAGCAGTCCTGCAACCCAGCAGGACCCTGTGGGTCAGACCCTTCCCCGTATCCTCTGCTGTAGCTCCTCTCTGAAGTACCCAGATAATAGAATCTCATGTGTATTTCCTGAGTTTTTCAGATGCTTAAAAGCCACCACCAACAGGAAGAAATTAACTACTTGATGATCGAGAGCACGTGGCCCCCAGACCTTCTGGCACCTAGGGGTTGATAGTGGTGAGTGCCCTGTTACCTTGACAGCAACCAATCGGAGAATTGTGCACGAGCTGATCGTGTACCCTGCGATCCCCCTGCCTTACCTGGCCTTTAAATATGCTTGCTGAAACCCTTCTGGGAGTTCACGGATTTGGGGGCATGAGCCACCCCGTCCGCCTCGCTCAGCCCTGCAATCAACCTTTCTCTGCTCCAAACTTCGATGTTTCAGTTTATTTGGCCTCATGGTGCAACAGACACACGAACTTGCCTCTGGTAACAGTTGTGGTTATAGATGTAATAGTTGTGAGGTATATGGTCTCATACACACCATGAGTCTCTCATTACAATACTAGCTAACATTTATATAGCATTTCCTGTGTGCCAGGCACCACGCTAAGCGTTTTACACAAATAAACTCATTTAATCGTACCACCCTGTGAGGAAGATGCTTTTATCACACCCATTTTAACAGATGAGAAAACTGAGGCACAGAGCATTTAAGTAGGATGCCAATGGTCACACAGCTGGAGAGACGGTGGAGCCGGGTGCCCCCCCAGGTAGCACAGCCTCGGAGCTGCTGCTCACCATCACCGTGTTGTACAGCATAAAGACAGTGCTGTTTTACTGGAAGGGAATTAGAAATACTATGTTCTGAGTGTTTAGTGTCTTTGGCATTCAATGTGCTTCAATTCATTTTAGCTTTCTAACAACTCTAAGAGGTAATCATTGTCATCATTTTATAAACGAAGAAGTTAAGACTTACAAAGCTAAAATATTTGCTCCAGATTACACAATTAGGGAAAGGAATAGCTGTAATTTAAATCAAATACTCTGGCTCCAATGCCTATGTCTTTGGGGTTTTGTTTTGGAAACTTCCCATTGGGGAAACTCATCATTACAAATACATCAAGACATGTTTCTAAAAGCTGTTTTGGTTAACTGATAAATTATCTAATCATCAATTCATTTCCTGTGGAAGTAACATTTGTAGCCATCAGATCTCTTTTTAAATATTTCAGATGAATTGGCTTTTTAATAAGAGTTTTCCAGGTAGACTATTTTGTGCCCATTCTGGCCTATTTATGCATGGCATATTGAAGCTGAAAGTAGATTGTGTATGAGCCATTATGTTGTACTATATTATGGTTAACTACTAAACACTGAGCTAATATCCAGAGCCAGAAAGAACAAGAATCATTTTGTGCTGTCATTAAATCATTACTCATCCAAAAATATATCTGATTGTTAAAAAATGATCTACCTTGACTAAAGCCATTCATATTTGTCCATAAAGAAATACAAGTTTGTTCACATTTCCACCAGAAGAATATTTTACAGTGGGACCCAAAGCTAGCCAGAAATGTCATAGGCTGAGGCCTGCAGTGACAGGCAATCCAAGAAGGGGTGGTGTGTGCAGGGAATCCCACCCCTCTTTTCTCTTAATCTCCCATCACTTCTTACTGTTGGACTCTGGGGAGTCAGGAGGCAGAGAGGC